GCGGATGGCAAGACCAGACGAGCAAAGACACATGGCCGATATGTCTCGCATGTCGAGGGAATTTCGCCGGGCATTTTCCCCTTCACGTCTTTCAATTTCGTCGATCGCAAGGCAGGGGCGAGGTAATTTGAGCAACTTGACGCGAGGCGAGGACTGGTGAGCTGACAGACCCATGTCTTCATAAATCGACACAAACATTTTCCGCCAATTAAGCAGGCCGCAATCCAGCTTATGAGGGGTAATTGTGGACCAAAACATGGGGGTGAGAACCACCTGAAGCGGCTGGACAGTCTCGGGTACAGTGAACCTTTTTTCTGGTCCAACATGAGAACGACTCAGCGCCAGCGGCTTGCTTTTGCAGACTGACTTGTCACTTGACGGCCTCGCCTAGCTTCGCCATAGGGGCTAGGAGAATTAGTGATCAAGTCAAATCATTACGGCAGATGGCGGCAATGCGGTGTTAGATTGACAGCGCACCTGCACGCTCCAGGGAGCCGGCGCCAGGCTAGACATTCCATCACGTACGATTCTTGGTATTCTAATTACCTTGCCGCTCCCTGCATGTCTGTAAAGGGATCACAGCGGCTGCCTTCAAAGTTGCTCCTCCCCCAGCCGTGTTATCCACTCGGCCGAGGCCCCTCTTCGGTAGGTTCATCCGAACATTTCTGTGTGGCCCAGCGAATAGGCGAGGGAAGCCAAGAGCAGGTGCAACGGCCCAGATCCATCAGAGCCAAAGGACAACAAAGGGGCCGTGATTCGACCTGCAGGGCGTCTTTCAATCCTTGAGCTGTGGACACTCCTCACATGTAAGTAAAACAGAGGGCCAAATTACGTTGCACGTCATAGGGAGACAGCGCCTGCAGACGAGGCCATGCCCTTGTTTGGAAGGTCTGCCAATGACGGGATCCTTATTTGAAACAGCACGCCAGCACGCGCTGTTGGCGCGCTTGGCTGGTGATAGCGGGCAGGTTTATTTCAAACATTCTAACGGACCCGAGGATGCGCATCCCGGGGTCGAGTGGGGCTGCCGAAGACCGAGACCAACACGGAGAATCTCTGGCCCCCGGTCTGGCGCCAACGGACCCCGGCGTATCGGTATGCACCCCTTAGGTGCTCGAGATTAAGGAAACTTGCTTGAGTGGGGGTATTTCCTAATTGTTCAGACCAGTGCAAAGATGCCAAGACAGAGACGGTGTGTTCCTGGTTGAAGAGATATAACATGAACATCAGAGCTGCTCCAACACAGCTCGTATGTTTCTCTCTTTGTTTGTTGAGCCGCATCTTCGCTGCATTCCTTCTTTTTCGAGTCACCGCTAGTACGGTGTTTTGTCATTCTTTTCAGAAACCATCCTGTTGACCCTAGCGGTTAGCGTTCGTTCTCTCGCAACACTTACATTCACCTTTGGACAATCTCCAAGCCACTCATTCACCCCGATCACCTCCAAAACTCGAAACTAGAAGACAACTAGAAAGCGATTCTCACCATGCGTTACACAATCTCGGGAGCCGCGGCCCTTCTTGGGCTCGCCGGATCCGCCTCCGCCCAGCTCCGCGCCTCAGCTTACACCGATCCCCAGACCGGCATCGACTTCCAGAGATACAAGCCCGACGCCTACCCGTACAGCTTCGGTATTGCCGTCCCCGAGACCACCGGCACCGACTTCATCGGTCAGATGGTTGTGCCCATCTCCACCAAGGGCAACTGGGGTGCTGTGTCGTTGAAGGGAGGCATGTTGAACGGTCTGCTGTTCGTCGCCTGGGCCGATGGCGAGGACATTGTCACCTCGTTCAGAATGGGCAGCGCGTACTCCAACCCCGACGTCTACACCAAGACCGAGGTCAAGGCGACCCCCATCGCCAACGGTACTTTTGTCAACAGCACCCACTTCTCGTACACTTTCCTGTGCAGCAACTGCGTCGACTCCACCGCGACGACCCTGGCCGGCGAGTCTCCCATCCTGGGTTGGGCCTTCTCCGACACCAGCCCGACCACTCCCTCTGACCCCGCGAGTGCCCTTAACTACCACTCTGCTGGTTTCGGCCAGTTCGGTCTTGACATCGCCAGTGCTAAGTCCGGCAAGTTCGAGGAGTGGTCCAAGTACGCGAAGGAGGTTGAGACTACCCCTGTCCCTGGCAACGGCACCACCACTCCCGTTCCTGGCAACAGCACCACTCCCATCACCACGTCCAACAGCACCTACGATGTCATCGTCGTCGGTGGTGGCCCTGCTGGCATCATCGCTGCCGAGCGTATCGCTGAGAGCGGCGCCAGCGTCCTCCTCATCGAGCGTGGCCCTGCCAACACCGTCCCCCTGGGCTCTGACTTAGCTCTCCCCTGGAACGACACCCTCACCCCCTACGACATTCCCGCCCTCGGCAGCTCCATGACCTCTCTCTCTGGCATCAGCATGTGCAGTGACACTGCCTCCACCGCCGGCTGCCTGTTGGGTGGTTCCAGCTCCATCAACGGCCTCAACTTCATCCACCCCCCTGAGCATGACTTCCAGCGCTGGCCCAAGGGCTGGAACTGGGCCGACATGTCCGCCGCCGCCGAGCGTCTGTACGAGCGCAACCCCGGCACCACGGAGCCCTCTGACGACAAGAAGTACTACGATGACCTCACCTACAGGGTCCTCTCCGGCCTCCTGAGCGGCAAGGGCTGGAAGGAGGTCGACTCAATTGAGTCCCCCAACGAGAAGCAGGCCGTCTTCTCCCGCCCCTCGTGGTCCATCAAGGACAACCTCCGTGCCGGCCCTGCCCGCACCTACATGCCCTTCGCCCAGCAGCTGCCCAACTTCACCCTCAAGCTCGAGACCAAGGTGATCCAGGTCGAGCGCACCGGCAGCACCATCACCGGCGTCCTCACCCAGGCCGCCGACGGCAGCAAGCAGATCATCAAGGTCAACCAGGGCGGCAAGGTCGTCCTCGCCGCCGGCGCCATGTCCTCCCCCCGTATCCTCTGGAACTCCGGCATCGGCAAGTCTGACGCCCTTGCCATCGTCAAGCAGGGCGCCGCCTCCACCGGCGTCACCCTCCCCGCCGAGGCTGACTGGATCGACCTCCCCGTCGGCCACCACCTCCAGGACCACGCTCAGGTGATGCTCCAGTTCAATTCCCAGACCAACTTCACCGCCTACGGCTTCAACGCCATCGCCTCCAGCCCCGTCACCTCCGACCTGGCCCTCTACAAGGAGGGCTCCGGCCCCATCACCCAGGCCGCGCAGCGCATGCACCTCTGGACCTCCGCCGAGGGCGCCGACGGCCGCACCCGCTACCTCCAGGGCACCGCCTCTGCCATGCAGAACGGCATCATCACCGTCCGCACGTTCCTCACCCACGGCACCTCCACTCTCGGCGAGCTCGGCATCTCCGCCTCGGGCAACACCGTCCTCAACACCAAGCCCTGGCTCATCGACACCGAGGACCGCAAGGCCATGTCCGACTTCGTCCAGTACTGGCTCGACCTCACCAGCGGCAGCAACTCTACCCTCAGCTACGTCACGCCCGGCGCCACCCCCGAGGACATCATCTCCACCAAGATGATCTCGGGCGACCACTGGGTCGGCTCCGCCAAGATGGGCACTGACGACGGCCGCTCCGGCAATGGCACCGCCGTCGTCGACCTCGACACCAAGGTCTACGGCACCGACAACCTCTTCGTCGTCGACGCCTCCATCCACCCGGACCTCCCCACCGGCAACACCCAGGCCATCATCATGATCACCGCCGAGCACGCCGCCGAGAAGATCGCCGCCTTCAAGGTCAGCGGCTCCGGCAGCAACTCGACCACCACCCCTGCCCCCGAGAACTGCAAGCGCTCCGAGAAGCGCGCTGCTCGCCAGGCCATGCGCTTCAGACGCCATGTTCACCTGCACAAGAACTAATGTAGCCCTCAAGTGCTGAGCGGACACCCATTAGAGCGGGGTTGTATTAGTTGATGTCATGAGTTACCCCTCCCGAGCATTCATCGTACATGTTTCCTTCTAGACTCTGTACAAAGTTTCTTTACATCGTAAATAAAGCATTTTAGATCATGGCTCATGATAGCCTTTGGATGCGATAAGTGACAGTGTAATCTCATATGAGACCCAAAAGAATACCCAAAGGAAGCCAAGCCCGAGCCGTTGTGTCTAGCCTAAGCAAGTCAATATGCCCAAGTCAGCAGAGCAGCGAAACTTGACCCCCGTGATCCAGACGTCTTTTGAGACTCATCGGACAAATGCTTGCACCGCAGCTCTTCGAGTTGGACCAATGTCTTCAATGCAAATACCACAGTGGATATGCAACACCAACGCCTCTCAAAACGTCGAGGTGTGATTACAAGTCCACGAGGGAATCTATTCATTTTCCCCTGCTGGAAGCAACTGGATCTGGGGGAGGAACCAAGTTTACGGGTATCTCCGACCTGATTATTGAAGAAATCGCTATATTTACCCCCGGCTTGGAAATAATCAGCGACAGAAAATCGCCGGCGTGGTGCATATGCCTGCACTTCTTCCCCTGTCATCCGGGAGTGTACTCGGGTACTGTGGCAATGAAGATCGCTTCAATCAACGCAACAAAGGCTAGCCCTACAGGCACTGAAGGAAATTTCGCCGTCATAAGTACGGTCGTGGAGTGACCTTTAGTCCGAAGACGGGCAGGGTAGCCAGAACAAACGACTCTGCAACTGCGAGTCATGCGGATGTCTGGTGTGTCGAATCGGAACAGCGGATTTTGTGGTATAGGCTATTAAAGAGTCAAATCTGGAGGACAGGAAGAAACAATTAGATCATCATTCATAGGTCTAATAATTTCAGACGGTATAGTGGACAAGGTTGCCTGGGTCACGTTGGCAAACAAGACTGAGCCAAGTAAAGACCTGATAAGCCGAGTTCTGCATACTACTTCCGAACATTCTCATCACAAGCCAAGACAAGACACAACAGATCACTAGTAGAAATTGAAATTGCCGTTCATGATTCGATTAAACGCTCGCTGGTGGTATACTCTCCAAACCTCTAAACGCTGACGACTGTGAACTTCAAGCACAGGTAAGCCAAATTCGGGTTCCGCGTGAGCTCGAACGCCCCGTTTGATGACCATATTACCACTTCCGTGATGTCCTTCACCCCAAGCACCTCCTTGTGCTGGCTCAGCATCCAGGCTGTTGCAGAACCGTGAGTGCTTCCCAGAATAGCAAGACCCTCGTCGGTATCCATCTTGAATGTAACTCGTTGGCCCCATTCAGGGACCTGGGTATATTTTGCCCTACGCAAGGCCTCCATCACAATCTGGAAAGTCTTGTTGTAGATAACGTGCGAATGAAAAACGGCCTTGAGATTCTTGGGATCGTCACCTCCAGCTAGACAGCCGTCTCGCCACTGGAAGTAGGCAATATCAGATGAAGTGTCCAAGTCAGGGACATCTCCTTTTTTATTCACGCTCTTTGCATAGGTAGGGCTGAAGTTTGAGTCGAAAATGAATACACCAGACTTTGGATTCACGACGTTGGTGTAATGCGCCATCGTGGGCTGGCAGGACGTATATCAGTACAAGTGAAACAATCGAGGGTATCATGATCGCGCTTACATATCCTGTTTGGCCATTCGCCTTCTTGAACTCCCGGTCATGGACGAGATTCCACAATGTGTTTTGCGTTGCGTCGACCGGCAAAGCTGGGTCCTCGAACGCGGGGCTCAGCAGGTTCCCATAATCAGGCGCGCGACCGCCTGCGTATGGGAAGAAATAGACATTCGGTGTCCAGCCCCATTGCAGAACTTCTTCCGGCTCCTGGAATGGACTGGCAACTGTTTGTCCGCCGTTGTATTCTTGCGCCTTTGCTGGATCCAGTGGCAGGAGACCCTTCAACCATTCGCCCTTATCGGCACGGCCTTCATAACTGTCGTCGAAGTAAGGAAACGCTTGCCTCACCCGCTTAGCGAGCTTTCGATCGGAGGTAGCGGGCGCGGGCGATGCGCTGATGGGAAGCAAAAAGTTAAGGAGTGAAAGCCATAGGAACAATAGACGGAAAGTTCCCGGCACAAACGAATGACTAGTGCGAGACATTGTTGAAAGTAAAGAATGACAGGTAGTTGGAAGACGCAGCAGCAACACACAGGACAAACACCGAACATCCACACACGACAGTGTGTGCGCGGTACCCAAATCCTTTAATAGGCGGCTTCAGAGGAAAGGAATGATCGGCTTCGGGCATTTCTATCATTGGAGAATATCTGGAAAGTTGATTAACAGACCAAGCATGGTGCCATGGGCCCGGCGGAGCGGGGCCGGACTGGCCGTTGCTTAATCAATTGCGGACAGGCCCGTCCATGCTTGACTCGTCCCTAAGCACATGTATGCAGCCGTAGGCCGGCCACCCCGCTGCCGCAGCACGCGGTAAGCAGAGCTATTGTTGGCTCAAGCCCCTGTTTTATTGAAATAAAGTTCAAGACGTCACTTCAGTACTCAATGCACAACCAACTTGATTAAATTGCGCACTTTGGATGAACATGTTCACAGATGTGTACGTTTATTTTGGTTTTCTCGCCAAGCGGAAAAGTAATGACGATCAATGGGCGTATATAGTGCTCAAGCGCCGAGACTACGAAGCAGTCGTTCAGTCCAGATCAGCGCTGGTCCTTCATGTAAATCACTGATCAGGAGGTCCTGGATCCAATGGAATTTCATATTCGACCCCTCACATCGCATCGTTCCGCCAGCCGGTCAGCCGCCTTTTGGATGTTGATAGTTAGTGCTGCAAGACAACAGTGAGGACATCGATGATATCAACGACAACGACACTAATACGAAAACGAAGACGACGACGATAATTGCGACGAGGACAGTAGCGCCAGCAGTGGTTACGACAATCACAGGGACGATAGTGAGGTATCCGACAGAATTTGAGACAAAATCACGAAGTTAACTGCTCCGTAAAGATAATCTGTCAGCTTGCAGCGTTCGACGACAAATACGTGCGTGAGAAGTTGTGTTTTGCGGTACTTCCCTAGCTTGTCACAGCCACTACATCACAAGCGTACATTATGGTGTCTATATACTTTGAAATACAAGCGCTCTACTGTTCCATCACATTTATCACACACTATTGCTCTCTCCAAGCAGCCCACGGCTTCTTATGTCTCATCTACCTGGCTTTGCTGTTTTCGGGTCGCTCGCTTCTGGTCCGCCAAGAGGGACCAGCTGCATCAGCCAGCCACGATGTGACGATGCATTTTGTCGTACGAAAAGTCGCGAATGATTTCTGGCGCTCTCCTCAAAATGAGTCAATCAAGACTGCGCCTATCGGACATGTGGTTATTTTGTTCCTGGTACATTTCGTCTCTGGTATCAGTAGCTCTCTTTATTACTGAACACAGCCTTTGGAATTGTCGGTTGATGTACTTATATTTGACTCTTAAGATTAAATAGCACTTTGCCCTGTATTATCTCTCTTTTAGTCACTGAGAATGGCACTGATTTGACAGTTTCTTGTGAACTTTCCACGGCCTTTTTGTTATCTTTTCTGTTGCGACCTTTTGGCTTCTAAAATCTAAGCACACATCACTCGTCACTTCTTTTCCAATATACCTGATGTTTCGCTTCCACCCCCATCAGCCATGCCAACTGAGGGACGCCGGTGGGTATACCAGCGTCACTCCCGCTGTCGCGAAGACACGCGTAGTAGGGGTCTTTAAAGGGGAATATATAACCCCTACTTCGCGATCCCTGCTACCCTCCTTTTTCTATAGATATCTATGCCTTTCGGAAGAAAGGTTATATTTAACCACCTACATAACCCTTAATCTGCTACCTTTAGACCTTATCCTAATTAAGCGAAAATGATTAGTTATAAAGAACCTCTAAATATATTAGTTAAAACCTCTGTAAAATAGGGGGAAAAACCTTTAAATATATTAACTAAAACCTTTATAAAGTAAGAGAAAAAACCTTTAAATCTATTAATCCCCTCTATTTTAGGTAATTTTTATATATAATAAGTTTTAGTATAAGCTTACTAATTAATATATATTATATATATTATTATTATTATTAGTTAATAATATAAAATAGAAATGATCTAAAGCTAAAACTATTAATTAGAAGTTTAAGCTTAAGCTAAAAAAGATAAGTATATTAATATAAATAATTAAGCTATTTTATGTAAAAAGCTAATCTTTTAATTTAAAGATTGTTAAAAATATAGAAAGCTTAATATAAAATTTAAAATAAAATAATTCTTTTTTCTTTTTTCTCTCTCTATTTTAAAGGCTTTTATAAAATATTATAAAGAGAAAAAGGCTTAATAAAAATTATTATTATATTTTTATTTTTAACCTCTATTTTAAAGTTGTAATATTTTATTGATAAATATATTAGCTTCATATAATAAATAGCTTAATATTTATTATTTATTAGCTAAAATATAAGTAGAAACAAATAAAAAATAATATATAAAAACTGTTACAAATTAATATATTGAAACTATTTATAAGAAATTATAAAACTTATTTTGTTTTTTTTATTATAGTTTTCTCTAATTTTAAAGACAAATAAGAAAATAATTAATCTTTATATTTAATAAAATTATATTTATTATTTTATTTGTTTGAGTTTTTATAGCTTTAATATTATATTTATATTATGATTTTATTTTTTATTTTTATAAAGTTATTAATAGCTTATAATAATAGCTTTATAGAGAAAAAGAGTAACTTCTTTATATTTATATTTATATTAATAACTTCTATTTATTAGTTACTAATCAGAATATTATTCTGTATAATTCTTATAGTAGTAATCTTTATATTATTAAGAATGTTAACTTTAGCTGTATAGAAAGCTAAAAAATATATTATAGCTATATTAATACTATTTATATAGCTTTTATTTACATTTTAAATAATAATATAATTGATAAATAGGATATCTTTGAAATATTTAGTAATAAGTTTATTGGATATTTTATTAGCTTTTTTTAAGATTTTATTAAAATAGTTAGTATAATAATAACTTAAATAAACTTTACATTTATAGCTATATTTATAAAGCTTATAGAAGATTTAAACATAAATAATATTATATTTAAGCTTTTTATAATAATAATTAAAGCTATTAATGATTATAATAATATTAATATTTTATAAACAAGTTTTAAAAACCTCTTTATATTTAATTTTAAAATATTTATTATGATTTTAATTTTAGAATATATCTCTTTAAAATTTCTTATTAATCTTAATATTTCTAGCTAATATAATAGATAGTTTTATAACATAACCATTATTATATATTTTATCCAATCTTAAAATAAAAGCTTAATCAATATCTTAAATAATATAAAAAACTATTTAGTAGTTTAATATTCAAGATTTTATTATAAAACCTTGATTTATAATAATATAATAAACATTATTATTATTAAACTGTAAGGGGCTGGCCCCTAGGCTTGTTCAACGTAGAGGTGCCGTCGATTGACTATTCTAAGCTGAAGAAGGAAAAAAGGACTTTACAAGAGTAGGCACCTAACAGCAGTGAAGCAGACTGGGTTAGGCGGTGTAACGCAGCAGAGTAGTGGGTCCAACGGAGCTAGATCTTAGTAACTGCTCCAGCGAAGCCGGAGATATCAATCCGGGCTCTAGCCTGTGACATCACCCCCCTGCTCCCCTCCAGCGGCGCACCCGCGGCGCTAAGGCTTGGTCTCCATCGTGCTCCATCGCAGAGCCATAACGGCGTTTATAAGCCTCTATTGCTTCTGTCCCCTGGAGCGTCTCGACAGGCTCCTAGGTCCTCTCTGTATATCCTTCCCACTTAACCAGAACTTCGCAGCGTCGCCCGCGCCCTCGACGCTTCTAGGTAGCGGCGTCGATACTCTCTACATTCCAGGTCTCCTCGCCTTCGTCATCTATAATTGGTGGCGGCTGCTCGTCATCTAGCGTTTGCCCAGGTAAAGGGTTGTTACCTGCACGCTTCAGGGTATCCACGTGGAAGCGTGGGTATATAGCCGTTGGCATATTAAGCTCTACTACGTATAGTGAGATAACTTTTGTAACTATATACTTATGGTGTAACTAATCTAGTTTCTTGTAAGGCCTAGGGGATCTGTAATACCCTATATAAAGCCAGACTTTGTCGCCCACTTTTAGTCTCTCTGTAGGCTGGCGCTTCCTATTAGCCAGCTCCTCGTAGTGTTACTGTGTTGAGGCGAGGGTCGATTAGGCTATATCTATCACATCTTGAAGCCTTATTACCAACTTGCGTGCTTAGCCCTCATAGGTGCCCTCAGGGCTTGCTGGGCCTGCTTCCTTGACCTTAATAGGCTCTGGGTTGTATCTATGCTCTAGGAAGAAGCTACTCATCCTAATAGCGCTATTATTGCGGCTGTAAAGCGCTAGCTGAGCTGCTGGAAGGTTATATACCTAGTCCTTCTGTGAGTAGGTGGCGTAGTTGCATAGGTAGGCCTAGATCTCCTGGTTTATCCTCTCTAGGCCTCTATCAGTCTGCAGGTGGTAGGTAGTGCTAAGCTGCTGCTCTATACCCAAAAGCTTGCAGAACTGCCGCTAGAAGCAGCTTGTCCAGTTGCTCCCTCTGTCGCTCATAATTAACATAGGGATGCTGTGAAACCTAAAGTGGCAGTTTAGGAATTATTCAGCGCAGGCTTCAGCTTCTATGCTTTCTATCGCCTTAAGGGTTACACCTTTACCTAGCCGGTTGATAATTACCTAAAGATATCTCTCGCCCTTATCTATAAGGGGAAGGTTAGTAATAAAATCTATAGCAAGGTTGCTTTATATACGCTATAGTATCAGTAGTGGTTTCAGAAGTCCCTTATAACGTTCCCTCTAGATATAACTACGCCTATAACTATTGCAGTTACAGCAGAAACGCTATACTAGGTGCGACTGACTAAGCTAGTAGAACTATCTACTAACCAGCGTGAAGGTGTTATCTCTTCCTAGATGGCTACTGAGCACTAAGTCGTAGGTGCTTTAAACAATATAGGTGCATAGTGTGTTTGCATTATTATCTAGATCTTTATTACCTAGTACCTAAATCTAATCTCTGAATAG